TCACGGTTCATGGGTTCCAGTCCCGTGTCGGGCTCTGTGCTGACAGCCAGCTCAGAGTCTGGAGCCTGTTTCAGATTCTGTGTCTCCCTCTCTCTGACCCTCCCCTGCTCATACTGTCTCTCTTTCTCTCAGAAATAAATAAAACATTAAAAAAAAATTTTTTTTTTAAAAATCTGTGCACAGGCAGCACTGATGTGAAGCAGCATAGCAAAGGCTTTAGGAACTGAGGTACAGTGTATACCACCGATGGGGTCCCAGACTGGCTTCTAGATGGCAGAGACATGGTACAGACCCAAAAAAAACAGTGCAAAGGCTTTGAAAAGGCTGCTGACATTTGAAAGCACACCTCACACAATATAGATTAGGACTAAAAGGTCAACTGACAGCTAAAACAAACAAACAAACAAACAAAATCAACATTCTCCAGAGGATATTGACAGACTCAAGGTCTCACAGTGTAATATTTCCAGGATACAATCCAAAATTATTCAACATTAAAAGGAAAAGGAGAATTTTTGGAGGGAGGCAAGATGGAGGAGAAGTAGGGAGCACTGTACATTTCGCCTGAACTCATCTCTCAAACAGAGAAGGCCTGAAGTCATAGGACACTGAGCCACAGGAGTTTGGGAAGAGAAAGAGACAGGGTCCGCTGGGAAGGAAACCTCACAAGTGCGTGAGTGCGAACTGGGGAAGACAAAAGCGGGACGGGACCCAGAGACACGGAGGGCGGGGAGGGACCCCGGCTCCCGTGCAGCTGCGGTGAGTGACAAACCCGAGTGGTGGCGAGCTGCCGCGAGTCCAGGGGAAAGGAAAGAAAGGCTGAGATTGCTCATAGAACCGTCCCTGGAGAAGAGAAAAAACCTCGGCTTGGAAAGACAGTGCTTTTTAGCTCTGGCTGGGGTGCTGACTTTAAACTAGGTGCCCTGGTCCCAGAAGGCGCCAGGAAAAACCGAACTGCCTTGCGCCCGGCACCAGCCATGGCGGCGGCGGCCGGTGAACCTCCGCAAGGCCTGCGGAGGCGGTCCCGGGGCCCGCTGAAGCGGCGGTGGCGGCGACCCGGTGAAGTGTCGCCGGTGCCCAGTGAAGCGACGGCTGCGTGGGCGAAAAGTTGCCTGCTGAAGCGGGCGGCCGGTAAAGCGGTTGCAGCGCGGTGAGGCAACGCGGACTCTGCGGACCTGAAGTTGCTACGATCCCCAGACGATCCCCAGACGCACTCGGGTTGTATTGCTGCTTGACCCCAGCGGATCTGAGGCTGCGGCTCTTCCCCCACCCTCCCCTCAACCCCCGGCAACAGGAAGCAGTGACCAGCGGAACTGTTAATGGCATGTAACAAAGCCTCTCAGGGGTAATCAGGCTAGATAGTTTCTCTGGATAACACCACCGTCTTTCACCTCTCCCACCATATTCCACCCTTTAGCTCTTTTTTTTTTTTTTTTAAAGTTTTATTTATTTCTAGGAGAGAGAGAGAGAGACAGCGTGAACAGGGGAGGGTCAGACAGAGAGAGGGAGTCACAGACTGAAACAGGCTCCAGGCTCTGAGCTGGCTGTCAGCACAGAGCCCGACGCGGGGCCGGAACCCACGAACCGCAAGATCACGACCTAAGCGAAAGTCGGACGCTTAACCGACTAAGCCACCCAGGCGCCCCAGTATCCATTGATGATTCTTGCTCAAACTAATCTCTGGTAGTTGCAGAGTGATGGTTTTCCAACCTTACGACCGCCTCCACATTTATCACCATCTTATTGTCAGGAAGAGCTCCACCCCCATCCCCATTATGTATCTGTTTGTCTAATTATTACTAGTAAGGACTCATGGATTCTTGTCTCTTTCACTAGATTATAATCTGTCACTATCATTATTTTTTTAAAGGAAGCTCTAGGCCCAACGTTGGGTGCTAACTCATGACCCTGAGATCAAGAGTCGTTCACTCCACCAACGGAGCCAGCCAAGCACCCCTGTCTCTGTCATTATTTATGTTGATTGTCAAATGGTCCCAGTCTACCTTAGAAACCATTCTGTATTAATTCTGTAGATATGACACCAAAAACGTAAGCAACAAAAGAAAAAATAGAGACAGCAGTCTTCATCATCATTTAATTCTTTTGTTTCTAAGAATACCATCAAGAAAGTGCAAGGCAACCCACAGGATGTGAGAAATATTTGCAAACCATGTATCTGATAAAGAATTTTTACAACTCAATGATAAAAGGACAAATAACCCAACTAGCAAATGGGCAAAAGATCTGAATCCTAAGTTTTCCCAAAGAGATACAAATGGCCAAAGAGCCCATGAAAAGATACTCAGTACCATTAGTCCCCAGGAAAATGCAAATCCAAACCACCATGTGATACTGCTTCACACCCCTTAGGATAGCTATGATCAGAAAGACAGTTAATAACAAGTGTTGTGGTGGGGGGAGGGGGCGGGGGCTGGTAGGCTCAGTCGGTATAGAGTACGTGACCTTCAATGTCAGGGTTGTGGTTTCAAGCCCCACACTGGGCAGAGCCTATTTAAAAAAAAAAAAAAAGTAAATTGAATTAAAAAAAAATAACAAGTGTTGGGGTGCCTGGGTGACTCAGTTGGTTGAGCCTCTTGATATCTATCGGCTCAGGTCATGATCTCAACGGTTTGTGGGTTCAAGCCCCACACTAGGCTCGGTAGTGACACCGAGGAGCCTGCTTGGGATTCTCTCTCTCTCTCTCTCTCTCTCTTTCCCCACCCCCCTGCTTGTGCACACACTCTCTCTCAAAATAACTAAACTTAAAAACAGTGTTGGTGAGGATGTGGAAAAATTGGAACCTTCACTCACTGCCCCTGCTGATGGCAATGTGCTGCTACTTTGAAGTCAGGCAGTTCCTCCAAAGTTTAAACTTTAAGGTACTATTTGGCTCAGGAGTTCCATTCCTCAGTGTATGCCCAAAGAAATGAAAACATTCGTCCACATGAGAACTTGTACATGGATGTTCATGGCACCATCATTCATAATAGTCCCAAAGTAGCCACAGCCCACAAGTGGATAAAATGATCAATATGGAGACAAATGTGGTCTGTCTCTACAGTGGAATAGTATTCAGCCATCACAAGGAATGAAATCCTGGTGCCTGCCACAACACGGATAAATCTTGAAAACATTGTCCAGGTCAGGCACATCTAGAGAGATAGAAAGTGGGTTTGCAAGGGATACAGGAGTGCTCATGCATAGGGGCACATGTACCCCAATGTTCATAGCAGCACTCTCAACAATAGCCAAAACATGGAAAGAGCCTTAGTGTCCATCAACTGATGAATGGATCAAGAAGATGTGGTTTATCTATATTATGGAATACTACATGGCAATGAGAAATAATGAAATCTGGCCTTGTGTAGCAACATGTATGGATCTTGAGGGTGTTATGCTGAGCGAAATAAGTCAGGCAGAGAAGGACAAATACCATATGTTTGCACGTATAGGAGGATTAGGAGGAACTTAATGGAGGACCATGGGGGAGAAGAAGGGGAAAAATAGTGGGGGAGAGGGAGGGAGGCAAACCATGAGAGACTCTTGAATGCTGAGAAGAAACGAGGACTGATGGGTGTGGGGGGGGAGTGGGGTGATGGACATGGAGAAGGGCACTTGTGAGGATGAGCACTGGGTGTTATATGGAAACCAACTTGCCAATAAACTATTTAAAATTTTTAAAAAAAGAAAGAAAGTGGGTTTGTGGTGGCCAGAGGTTGGAGGCGGGTCGATTGGGGTGGGACAGCTAATGGGTATGGGGTTTCCTCTTGGGTTGATGAAAATGTTTTAAAATTGACCGCAGTCATACGTGCACAGCTCTGCAAACACACTATTGAACTGTACACTTTAAATGAAGTGATTATATGGTATGTGAATTACGTACTGTGAATGTTATCTCAATAAAGCTGTTACCCAAAAAGTGTTCCAGATTTGGCCAGTGGGTGCCCCTCTGAGCTGGCTCTCATGTCCATTTGACATGCCCCAATCCATATTTTTGAGAGCTTCCTTACTTTCTAGCACAAGATACTCCAGACTTACTTCATACTCTTTCCTACTCCAGCCTAGGAATCAACCTTTTTCCCAGAAGTCCTGCTTCCTGTTTGGGGGGAATGCAAAACCAAGATTGAGGCATTTATTATTTCCTTTAATCATCAAGACAACCCTATTAAGTCGGTATTAACCTATCTTCATTTTATAGATGAGGCCCAGAGAGTTAAAGCAGTTTGTCCAAGGTCACACAGCAGCCGAGTCTTTGTATGCAGGCAATGTGAATCCAGAGCCCCTGCCCCTCACACCTCCCCCTACGTACACACGTGTGCGCATGCACACACACACACACACACGCACACACACACACAGAGTGAGAAAGTGAAGTTTATTTCTTCAGCGAGGTCACTTTTAATTGCTTTGTGAGATGCACTTTTGAGTGGAAACCAAAGTGCAGAGCTTTTAAACAGCCTCTCGGGAATTGCACAAGGCAGGGTATGCCCTTGGGAAAAGTTACATATCTTGCATCTGGGAGGGTGGGATTGAGGGGAGATCAGCACCCAGTGTGCTGGCCCTTCCTCCAAGGGCACGTCCTCAAATCCACACACCCAAATACCAGTAAAGTCCAGGTCTCATCAATCTTCTTAGCCAGCCTAACTCCCCACCCTCGTACCCAAATGCTGACCACCACCAGGTGCCCTTTACAAGAGTGAAAATGGCTAAGGGAGGAGAAAACCTACAGATGATGAAAGGAGATCAGCCTCAGCTTTTCACTGTTGACATGGGCAATGGGTACATGGAGATTCATGACATCACTCTCTCTTGTCTTGTAAATAGATTTTAAAAGTTTCTGTAGTAAAAATGTATGAAATGGTGAGAGGAAAGAGAAATAGCCAGGTGGGGAGCCATGAGTGGGAGAGGACATTTGGCTGCTCTCTCCAGATCCCTCAGGTGCTCGGAGGAGAGCAGCAGTGCGTCTGGGAGATTCTCGGGACCACAGGCCCTCAGCTGTGTCTTCTTCCCTCCGAAGATGATGAGGACACTGCTCATTTCCTTGGTCAGCTGCCTCTTTGCCATAAATGAGGCCAGGCTCATCAATCGCTGTGACTTGGCCAGCGTGCTGCGCAAGGAGGACTTGGATGGCTTTGAGGGCTATTCGCTGAGTGACTGTGAGTGCCGCTTTCTCACACTCCCGCACTCCCCCCTTCTCCGCTCCTGCTCATGCCCTGTGTGCCCGTCTTTCCATCATTCATCCTTTGAAGCCAAGTTCAAAAAGCAGCCCTCCCTGGGGCGCCTGGGTGGCTCAGTCGGTTGAGTGTCCGGCTTCGGCTCACGTCATATCTCGCGATTTGTGGGTTTGAGCTCCGCGTGGGGCTCTGTGTTTACAGCTCAGAGCCTGGAGCCTGTTTCACATTCTGTGTCTCCCTCTCTTTCTGACCCTTCCCTGCTCACGCTCTGTCTCTCTCTGTCTCAAAAATAAAGTATAAAAAAATTTAAAAAAAAAAAGCAGCCCTCCCCAAGAAGCCCTTCCCAACATTCTATATTCGTTCCGCAATTATTAACAGAGCATGTACTCTGCCCCAGGAACTATTTCAGGTGCTTCGACAGAGACAACAACAAAGCCCCTTCTGTCACGGCGTTCACATTCCAGGGGCAGAGGTGGGCCCCAACCGTTGAACACACAGACCTATGAAGCACTTTCCTGGTGGTGATAAATGTTACACAGAAGAATAAAGCAGGGGAGGGTGATGATAGGTAACACTGTACTAGAAGGGGAAGTCAAGGAAGACCTCTCTGAGGAGGTGACATTAAGTGGCACTGAATGAAGCAAAGGACTGGGTCGCCCAAATGTCCAGGGAAGAGCATTCTAAGCTGAGGGGGCAGACGGTGCAGAGGCTTCATCCCACTCCATGGTGGGGCCACCAGCTTCCTTTTGCCCAGATTTTGTACATGCCTGTCTTGTGCTGTCTTCCTTTTATCTTGTGTTGTGGGGTTTTTTTTTTTTTTGGTATCATCATTCTTGTACTAGAGGCCCCTTGAAGGCACTAGCTGCATTTGACCCAGCTAAATGTCCCTCACTGGGCTTTGCACACACTGGGTGATCATGGCACACAGTAGGTGATCATCAAGTGCAGGCGGTATGGATGGACAGAGGTATGATTAGTGGTTGTACCGAGGGGCAGGCTGATGGATGGAAGGGCGAGGGGAGAAGCTAATGGGTGTTTCTGGCCAGCCTGCACCCTCTAGCCTCTTAGGCCTTGTTCCTTCCTTCTGCTTCCCTCTCCCTTTCTGCACCATCTCCTTTGTCCTCTGGTTCAAGCCCTCCGAAAACCTTCTTCTCCCTGTCCTAAGGGCTGTGCCTGGCTTTTGTGGAAAGCAGCTTCAACCTATCAAAGGTGAATGAAAATGCAGACGGTAGCTTCGACTATGGCATCTTTCAGATCAACAGCCACTATTGGTGCAATGACTACCAGAGTCACTCGGAAAACATTTGCCATGAGGACTGTAAAGGTCTGGCTGGGGTCCCAGGGCGGGAGAGGTGAGAGAATGACTGGGGTCTACTCACAGGACTTCTCTGCCCACTTGACGCCCCAGGATGCCCCCAGAGTCCAGGAATACCTTTGCTGAGCAGAGGACTTGACTAGTGGCTGTAACGCTCCTCACTATTAAGTGAGGAGACTGTCAGGTGTGCGGGCTCCAGAAAGCTCCGCACGGCTAGTGGCAGAGCATCACAGCGGCCAACATTTACTGAGAGTGTGTTCTATACTGAGCGCTTTACATGCCAACTTTTCATGTGCTGGAAAGTATTATGATCCCCACTTTACAGATGAGCAAACTGAGGCTCAGAACACCAGTGCTGAATGCCAGACTGGTGGCCCTGAAGGCTCAGCCCTAACCATCAAGTACTGACTTCGGCTGATAGTCAGATGGATTAAAGGCCAAGTGCAAACTCCCCACCTCAGAGCTGCCCCGGGAGGCTCCACAGGCCCATGACTTTGTCCCTCACTCCCTCCTTTGTATTCTGATCAATATCCCTGGACTCTTCACCTGAAGAGCCTCTCTCACTAGGCAAGATTTACTTTGGCCTCTGTGCTGCCTGTTTTGACATTTCCTTTCCCTAGAAACCCTCAAACACGGAGCAAACCACCCTCTACCCTAGCTAGGATGCGTGGTAGTAAACATACATTTACTCCTGTCCCCTCCTGCCTCCACCGCTGGCCACCCTTGACCGCCAGCAGCCATTGTAGGGGTGTCTAAATGAGCCTCTGGGAGGGAGTCCTTGCCTAATCTGCCCCTGGGTGGCATCTGCCAGTGCAGGGAGAGCTGGGGTCTGCCTCAGTCTCTGGGACTGTCCTCTGTGTTCTCACGGATATTCTCTGTCTCCCTTTCAGAACTGCTGAGCCCCAATCTTCTCTCAACCATTAACTGCGTGAAAAAGATTGTGTCTGGAGCAGGAGGGATGAAGAACTGGTGAGGAGGGCACTGTGGGACTAAGTTTGCAGGCAGAGCCCCGAGAAGGATGTAGAGGCAGAGAAGGGACAGGAGGCAAGGAACAGACCCCTTCTAACAGTGTAGAAAATGTGGGATAGCGGCAGGGCTCGGACCTGGGACTTATTAACAGTCATATTAAAACTGCTTTGGACATGGTGACAAAGCAAAGACTGTCAGTGAGCTTTTCCTGACAAGTTTCTCCTTCCTCGTGCATTTGCTTCACTACTTTCAAGAAAGTAGTCCGCACTCCACAGGACAGACCGNCAACTGCGTGAAAAAGATTGTGTCTGGAGCAGGAGGGATGAAGAACTGGTGAGGAGGGCACTGTGGGACTAAGTTTGCAGGCAGAGCCCCGAGAAGGATGTAGAGGCAGAGAAGGGACAGGAGGCAAGGAACAGACCCCTTCTAACAGTTTAGAAAATGTGGGATAGCGGCAGGGCTCGGACCTGGGACTTATTAACAGTCATATTAAAACTGCTTTGGACATGGTGACAAAGCAAAGACTGTCAGTGAGCTTTTCCTGACAAGTTTCTCCTTCCTCGTGCATTTGCTTCACTACTTTCAAGAAAGTAGTCCGCACTCCACAGGACAGACCGTGGCTGCCCCCATGTAAATGGGCTAATGTTCTGAGCAGCCACGAAGGCTGGCTAGTCTCATCCCCAGTCCAAGTGGCTGGGATGGAGAATCTGATTGGTTCAGTTTAGACCCAGTGTCCCCACTTGGTTCAGTCAGCTTTAGGGGTAGGAGCAGCTGAGCAAAACCATCACGGTGGCCACAGGCGGCCCCTCTCCATAACTGGCAGCCACGTTTTCTACAAAAGGTGTGTAGCTCTTCAGCTGGGTAGATACAGATACCCCCAAAGCTGTCAGCTTGCCAGTGTTAGGTGGTGCAATGGCTGCTTCACTTTTCTGAGCTTCAAACTGGAGATGTATGCATTTATAATACATATATATGATAAATGGTTGCCTCTATAGGAGGCTGTAAGGATGGAGAGAGTTAAGTGTCTTGTCTACTCTAGAAACACAATGTAGAAGAGATGCTGACGACTGACAACTATTAGAGATGACCCTCTCTGGAGGGAGAGTCAACGGCTGCACCCGAGATAGACTGATGGATTGGTTATTTATTTATTTATCTTTTCATTTGTTTAGTGACTCTCAGCCCTGTAAAATGGCGCGCTCCCCCTTCGGGGGTGGGGGTGGAGATGAGGATTTGAAAATGCGGGAGCATACTGAACCAGGGAGGAGATATTTAAAGGAAGAGAAATTTAAAGGAAAGCTCAAAGGGGCCACTGGGGGCCAGACCAGAGAACTTGGGATGAAGGGGATTCTGAGCACTGCTGTGCGTGAGAGACTCACTGAGCGCTGTAGGAGGTAGGAAGCAAGAACCCAATCTTCTTCTCTCCACAGGGCGGCATGGAGGTTGCACTGTGCGGGCCGGCCACTCTCCTACTGGATGACAGGATGTTATAAGGGATGAGACGGGTGTGGAGTCAGTCCAGTGTTCCTCACTTCTCACTTGGGAATTCTTCATTTCTTCTTCCTCTTGCCTCCACTTCGCGTTATTTTCTTTCCTTCCCATTTTAAAAAAGAACTGACCGGAGCCCCAGGAATACATGGTTTCCTAGGGCTTCCTCCTTGTAGCCACCCAGGCCCAGGCCTCTGGTTCCTGACTGCCATTTGCAAACCAAGAGAGGACCACAGTGAAGAAGTTTTTATAGTTGGGGAATTATTAAAGCATACCTTGTGCAAAGAATGTTGATTTATTCATGTTTAATTCCAGATATATTCGGGGGCGCCTGGGTGGCTCAGTCAGTTAAGCGTCCAACTCTGGCTCAGGTCATGATCTCACGGTTCATGGGTTCGAGCCCCGCATGGGGCTCTGTGCTGACAGCTAGCTCAGAGCCTGGAGCCTGTTTTGGATTCTGTATCTCCCTCTCTCTCTGACCCTTCCCTGCTCACGCTGTCTCTCTCTCTCTCTCAGAAATAAATAAACATTAAAAAAATTTAATTCCAGATATATTCCTACTATATACCTAGTATAGTAGGAGTGCTAGAGTAGGTACTAGAAGGAAGATAAAACATAACTATTGTTCTCGAGGTGTTCATCAGCTGCCTGGAGAAGCAGAGACATCCACAAATAATGAGTACAATGAATGAGTGGATAATGAAATGGGTAATAAAATCTACAAGTTTTGGTTTGAAACAGTATCATGATCCCAGTTATTCCTCCAAAGTGAGCAATTTCTTTTTGCTTATTTATTTTGAGAGGGGGAAGGGTAGAGTGAGAGGGAGAGAGAGAAAGAAGCCCAAGCAGGCTCCTCGCTGTCAGCACAGAGCCCAGGCGGGGCTTGAACCCATGAACCGTGAGATCATAACCTGAGCCAAAGTCGAGAGTCTGATATTTAATGACATTTAACCTACTGAGCCATCCAGGTGCCCCCAAAGCCAACTATTTGAGTAAATAGCCCAATAAAGAGTATTAATCACAACTATCCTCTATCAGCACCTCCTCATACAAGTTTTAGCATGAAAAATGAAGGTCAGGGCGCCTGGGTGGCTCAGTTGGTTGGCTCAGGTCATCATTGCCCAGTTTGTGGGTTTGAGCCCCGCGTAGGACTCTGTGCTGACAGCGAAGAGCCTGGAGCCTGTTTGGATTCTGTGTCTCCCTTTCTCTCTGCCCCTCCTCCGTTTGCGCATGCACTCTCTCTCTCTCTCACAAATAAATAGTAACAAATGAAATCTGGCCATGTGTAGCAACATGGATGGCACCTAAGGGTGTTATGCTGAGCAAAATAAGTCAGGCAAAGGACAGATACCATATGTTTGCACGTATAGGAGGATGAGGAGGAACTTAACGGAGGACCATGGGGGAGAGGGAGGGAGGCAAACCATGAGAGACTCTTGAATGCTGAGAACAAACTGAGGACTGATGGGGGTGGGGGAGAGGGGAAGGGGGGTGATGGGCATGGAGGAGGGCACTTGTGGGGATGAGCACTGGGTGTTGTATGGAAACCAACTTGACAAAAACTATTTAAAAAAAATAAAAATATTAACATTGAAATAATTTTTTAAATGAAGGTCATATTTATGGGATAATAAAATGGAATCGATTTTGTCTTATGAAAATATTTTTTTTAAACCCTGATTATATTGTGCTTTTCTTGTTTTGGCAAAGACTGGTGAAAACTTCACCACAGATGGACACAAGTCTGAAGACCACTGTTCAGAAACCTCAGGAGACTTATCTTGTAAGGTCCCTTCTGGCTCAGACATTCTAGGATTAAAATAAGGATCATTAGGATCTACTTTCCCTCTCAGTGTGTTAGTCTTCAAAATAGCTGACTATTTGGATGCCTAGAACGGCCCTTTTGCACAAGCACCATGAGCTCCAGTACTGGTGCCCTACTTGGCCTCACTGTTTGATTTTTCCGAATTTATCTCTCCTTCTTACCCTGCCTGCCGAACTCCCACATCATCTCCCCCCCACAAGCACACACATATACCCATTCACCAAAATCACGCAGGAAAAGCAGAGAATGCTTTTTAAGGATTTCATTAATGGCTTAATGAGTTATAGTTTGATTTTGCATATTTAACATTCATGAAAACATTCTTAAGCCAAAGGATGGCATCTTTAGTGGTCATTTCCCACACGTAAGAAATGTAGATTTTTAGAGTTCAGTAGGTAACTTACTGCTAGTAGTCTAAATCTTCTCCCGGAGCGAAGAGGAAGCAGGCTGCTATAAAATTGTCCATACCCAGGGATCCTGTAAGCTCACCCTTTAGACTCTACTGTGAAAATACACTTGACTAGAAGCACTAAACCTGACGACATTGAGGCAACGGAACTGCGCGAGGGAAAGTAGCAGCAGAGACCCGCCCCAGAGTGGGAGGGGCGAAGGAGAGGTCGGGAGGGCAGCCCCCCCCGCTCCACCCCCGGCGGGCTGGCCCCTCCCCTCGCAAGAGCCCCTTTTTAAAAGGCGCGGGCCCTCGTAAACCTAGTCGCGCATGCGCAGTGGTGGTGGGATGGCGGAATTGCTCTCTTTTGCGGTTCCCACCGAGAGTGACAAAACCTTGCTGGTGTGGGAGCTGAATTCTGGACCCACGGCCGAGGCCTTGCATGTGAGTCGAGCCAGGATGGAGGGAGGGATGGGAATCTTCGAGTCTGGCTTTAGCCCCTCGCGCGCCTTGTAGTCTCCGCCGAAAGGAATCTTAGTTCTAGAGGCGACCTTTGCAGTTGCATGCTGCCTTCTAATGCTTCTCGAATCTTAGGATTTCAGAGAGAAGTCTGTTCATGAAATGAGAAGTATTTTGGGTTGCCTGTGCAGGAGGGCTTAGGGAATATAAGGGAATGGGCATGAAATTTGTTTCCTGGGCGTGAAATTTCATGCACTTAACCTGGCGTGGGACCACCCCACAGCATTCTCTGTTCACAGTCTTCTCCCAGTTTGGCCTTCTGTATTCAGTGCGAGTCTTCCCAAACGCTGCAGTGGCGCGTCCCGGTTTCTATGCCATCATCAAGTTTTATTCAGCAAAGGATGCTTACAGAGCGCAAAAGGCATGCGACCAGAAGCAGCTTTTTCAGAATTCTCCAGTGAAGGTGGGTCCAAGTAAGAAATTCCCAACTCCCCGGGGGGGAAGTGTTGAATTCAGTACTAACAGGCTAGGGTTTGTACAGCGCTCTGGTTTACAAAATGCTTTTCCATGCATTGCTACACTGATCCTCCGGTTTCCCTGGGTATTTGGTTTGTTTTGTTTTTTTTCAGACGAAGAAACTCGAACTCACGATAGTTAAGTGACAGACTTAAGGTTCATGACAGTAACTGGAAGGTAGTGGTCAAACCCAAACTTACTGATTTTGAACCCCATGTCAGTTTTTGCTGCGCCTTAATTTAATAAAGCTTCACGAAAAGAGTCTTGTTTCTATTTACTATTATGTAGATTTTAAAAATTTTATAACGTTTTTATTCATTTTTGAGAGGGTGTGAGCAAGAGAGGGAAAGAGAGAGAGGGAGACACAATTGGAAGCAGACTTCCAGGCTTTGAGCTGTCAGCTCAGAGCCCAATGTGGGGCTCGACCTCACGAACCCTGAGATCATGACCTGAGCTGAAGTTGGTCGCTTAACCCACTGAGCCACCCAGGTGCCCCTCTATTTTGTGGATTTAAAATGACAAACTTTTTTATCAGTTTTATTATAAAGGATGCTTCATCGTCCTCATCATCATCACTCTCAAACTGCCTATTCAGAATTCCCTTCAATTCCCAGAAAAATGGTTTAAACATTCTTGAATACACCGTAAAAACTTTATTCCATACCAACATGCTGTCCATTTTACTTTTCCAGAGCCCCAGAATTATATTCATTATGTACCTTGACTCAATCACCATTTCCTTATCAAGGGCCATGTCATTTCCTTTGTTGAGTGAGGCCTAGATTGCTAAACCTTTCACTTTGTAATTGTACATCTTCATCAGCCTTCTCTAATTGGCTTCTTTATCTAGCTGCTTCCTACCGACCTGGCTGCCTGTTCTTACCCATATGCCTTTCCTCATTGATTTAACCTTGATCGAATCTGAGAATCCTCAAATGTGACTCTAGGTATGCTGCTTCCACTTGTTCAACACTTGTCTTCAATCCTGGTTCCACTCCCTATGATTGAAATGATCACCTGTCAGACGTTCCTTAGTTTGCAGGCTTCTATCCTGTGAAAATGTCACAATGCCATTCAGCTATTACAGATAATGAAACAGTTACTTTGTATCAGTTGTGAATAATGAGGTGTTTTCCTCTCATTTGGACATTAAGCCCGTTTCATAAATGGGTTTTGAGATTTCACAGCAGAAAGCCCATCACAGCAGAAAGCCCAAAGTCAATATATAGTTGATAGGAGAGAGCATTCACATTAGATTTCTTTATCTGTTTGACACAAAGCCTTAGGTTACTACCCCCCCACCCCCCGCCCCGGCCTCCTGAAATTGTTGCCCAATTTACTTATGTGTTCTTTTATACTTTGGCAAGTATATGTAGTTTCTGGTTGTTTTCTTGTTCACCTTTTATAAACACAGAAAAAAAGAACATCTTAAAAATAAAATCAAGGAAAGGCCTAAGGCGTCTGAGAGTTTTTTTCACTAGCATGAAGGAAAACGGTTGTCAACAATCCCTGTGGCAAGGTCCTCCAATATGACAACTCTCTTAACCAGTCGGGGGCTCAGGGCGCTCCTGAAGCTTCCTGATTGTCCAGAACAGCCCCACTCGGACTCCCCATTAGCCTTCCCCGCAGCACTCAACATCTAAAAGTTTATCTTCATTTCTCTTTCCCAGCAGGCAGCTTCAGTTGGAGAAAGTAATTTCATTTTCTTATCTACTCATTCATTCACTCAATCCATAGGCCTGTGCTTGGTTTTAGGAATGAGGAAAGAATAAAATATGGTTCCTTCAGGCACTTAAGGAACTGATAAACTAGTGATAGAGCCAGTTGCACCAACAAATCAATAAAGAATTAGTAATACTTTGACTTTATTGGAATTATTTGAACTTTTATGAATATATTAATATGCTACACCCCACTTAAAATTGAAAGAGACATTTAAGAAAGAACTAGAGGATATAAGAAATTCATTGTAGTGTGTAAGTTATTTAGAGAGTTAACACTGGAGGTATTAGGATTCTCAAAGAAGCTTATTAAGGTAGATGAACCTCTAATTGTTTTATTTGCTTATAAAGTTTACAGAAGTATGTATATTCCTTCTTCTAACAGGGGTTAGTAACTTGGGGAGCGGAGGCTGCTGCAGACTCAGGTCCTTCTCAGGCCCAGCTTATCTGCTCTTCAGGTCATATTCTCAAACAGGAGCTATGCGATGGGACAGCAAAAACAATTTACTTCTTTGCTTACCTACAACCCCTGATGTGCTTCTGGAGGGTTTCCTTAGTTGCTTTCATCATCACTTTCACCACCAGAGATCAGGGAAACCTTCTGATTAATCGAGGGCCCTGGAAATGTAGGGTTTATGACAAGCTCATTTCTGAAGATGTTTCCAGTTTGATCTTCACACCCTCTCCATGAAATAGGTATTGAGAAATCTCAGGCATATCCAAAATAAGCCTCTGTGGCAGGTTATGATATTTTCAGGTCTATTTCTTTTGTCTTTAGGTTCGTCTTGGCACCAAACATAAGGCGGTTCAACATCAGGCCCTTGCCCTAAACAGCTCCCAGTGCCAAGAATTGGCAAATTATTACTTTGGTTTCAATGGATGGTCAAAAAGGATCATCAAGGTAAACTTTATAGGTTTTCTTTGACTAATTAGTTATTCCAACTTTGAAATCCTGGATTTTAGAGAGGAGGGAACTGGGTTGTGGGGAGGAGATGTGAGAGGCCTCTAAGTGGAGGTACCTTAATCTGCCACCTAAAATGAACAATAATCGCAATAACTTGGGTGGTGGTGTCCATAATTTTCTCCAGTATTTGTATGGGATATAGTAAAAACCAGCTGTCTTTATCTAGTAATCCATTTGCAAGTCTTAGCAGATGTTGAAGCTATAGGATACCTCCACTGTGGGCTGGGATTGCTGGAGTTTAGTTTTCATTTCTAATAACAAAACATCTTGAAGCTTACATTGAGATCCGAGTAAGGACCTTTCTCTTAAAATCCTAACAGCTTCAGGATCTTTCTGACCTTGAAGAAGGGGCGAAGGAAGATACTGCAGCACCACTTCAGAAACAGAGGCTGAAATTCTTCTGTGCTTTAGAGGTGGTGTTGCCATCCTACGGGTGCCGGAGTCCCGGAGCTGGCATGGCTGAGGAGCCTTTGGATAACCTGGAGGAAGGTCTGTTTACAGTGGGGGTCAGGAGGGGTGGGGAAGAGGAGGTGGAATCTCTCTTTCTAAAAACTTGTCTTTTCAGATACATCATCCAGCCCTTCTCTTGCTAAGCAACTAAAGCCCTAAGCAGAGTTTTTCTGGCCTACAGCATAGGCTTTTATCTTAGGCAATACCTGAAAGAACCTTTAACTTGAAAATCCTAAGGCTGACTTTTCTGCCAAGAAGTTTAGGAGGAGGGAAGTAATGTTTTTCCCATTTTTGGTTAAGAATTTGCCTCGTGCTGGGGCGCCTGGGTGGCTTAGTCGGTTAAGCGTCCGACTTTTGCTTAGGTCATGATCTCGCGGTTCGTGGGTTCAAGCCCCGCGTCGGGCTCTGTGCTGACTGCCAGCTCAGAGCCTGGAGCCTGTTTCAGAGTCTGTCACTCCCTCTCTCTTTGACCCTCCCCTGTTCACGCTGTCTCTCTCACTCTCCTAGAAATAAATAAAACATTAAAAAAAAAAAGAATTTGCCTTGTGCTAAAATAGTCCTTCAAATACAGATCTCTTGCAGCCTGCAGTCATCATCTAAAGATTTAAATAAACTCTTGTGTAAATGTTGAGTCCTTTGCCTCCTATAAAAGGGCTGGAGTCTAAAGAGTCAAATCCAGATTCCTAGGAAAGGTATTCCAATTGGTACTGTGTTTTTTCAGTGTCCACAGCACTTAGGCTTAGGGTTTTAAGGGAGGGTCAGGGCTGTTAGTAAATGGGGTGGAGTAGGCTCCCTGGGGTGGTGCCCAGGAAGAGATGGGGGTGGGGGGCAGAGGGAGAAGGGGGGTCACATGCACTACCACCAGACCTCCCCGTGTGACTCCAGCCCTTGACGCACAGGAGGGTAGGGTCTGTAGGAGTCTAGTTTCAGCCTCTCTGTTTGCAATCTGTGAGTGATGTGACACCTGTGCCACTGTCCGAGCTTGCATCTCCCTTGTGGCACTTCTGAAATAGATCAGGGCAGTAACAGTGTGCCCTGTCAGGACGTGCCCACAGCAGAGCTGTTCAGCCTTGTGTTGTGCCTGCCCTTAGTTGCTAAGGTAATGAACTAAGAATCATGGATGTATTTTCACTTTTAAACATTTAACTCTCAAATCAGTTATCATTCAGATAGGCATTTTTCAGTCCATTTGTTTTGGTTGGATTTAGGGCCATTATCATTTCTTACGAAAAGGAAGACCACCCAGAAGCTTGCTATTCAGAGGGCTATGTCAGACGCATTCCAGAAACTGTTGATCGTGGTTTTAGGTAAGACATCTTTGATTGTCCTTACGGTACGTCAGTTTCAGTGAGCAAATACACTCATTGTGAAAAGTCAGTTGGATGAAAACACTTCATATTCTTTTACTCACCAAATGCTTTCAGAGCAGTAGTCTCAAATATGTTCTTTGTGGCATTTGTGAGAAATGCAAATATTTCTGTCCCCAGTGTATAGATATATAGTGATTTGCCTCTGTCCACACAGAAAGTGTTTGACTCAGTCTTCTTTCTTGATTGTTTGCTCATAATACACAATAGTATGATGATTATAAGCTTTAGGGGCGCCTGGGTGGCTCAATCCATTAAGCATCCAACTATTGATTTCAGCTCAGGTCATGATCTCACGGTTTGTGAGATTGAGCCCCAAGTCGGGCTCTGTGCTGACAGCGTGGAGCCTGGTTGGGATTCTCTCTCTCCCCCTCTCTCTCTGCCTTTCCCCTGCTCCCTTATGCCCACATGCTCTCCCTCTCTCAAATAATTAAAAAAAAAATAAACTTTTAAGCTTTGGACATCTAGTGTTGAATCTTAACTCTGTCTCCTAGATTTCCTATCTAATTTTAGGTTTTATAGTAAGATCTGAAGTATTTTATCTTTCTAAGCTGCCATTTCTTTATCTGCAAAGTAAACATAATAATTCAACTTACCTCATGGGAGATGAACTGTAAGAGCAAATGAGATGATGAAAAAGTTTAGAACTATCCCTGAAACAGGAACACGGTAAGCAGAGAAAATATGTTAACTTGTTATCATCATTGTTATCCTGTTGGAGAATTCATTAGATTGTGTTTTTGGAATCAGGTCAGCTTCAATTTTTGTTTCTAGAAATGACATATTGGGTGAATATGATTCTTAGATCAGGATCAGCTACATTTTTGTGAATCTCGAAAGCGGTCATGCTATTGAATAGCATTGTGTTCCCTATTGAGTTCTACAATGTGTGTGAATGTTACAGGCTGTGCTGAAAGGAAATTTTATAATTAGTAGAGAGTCCCCAAACAATTGCTCCCCTGCTTCATAGTCCTGCAGGCTTAGAGACTAAGAAATCCTAGCTAAGTTTCAGAGGCCTTAGTTGCCTGTGAGAGTTGACCCTGGATTGGTCTCAGGCTTCCAGCCTGGGCAGCTCTTCCAGTGAAGGTTGACTTCCCTGGTCATCAGGTAGAATCTCCATTAGCTGTCAGTTCTGAGTAACAACCTTTAAGAACCAAACTAAACCTTTGGGTTGTTGACCTCTCCGATACGTGCTGTAGTATTCCTTGTACACACTCAGCATCTTGTAACTGTAGTTTGCCTTAAGGGGAATTGCATTGTCTATAAGGGACACGGACCAGGTTCTGCCAATAAACTGTTCAAGCGCATTCCCTCCCTCTTTCTCTCTCTCTCTGTCTCTTTCTCACACACACACTCTCTCTCTTTCTCTCTCTCTCTCTTCCTCCTTCCCTCTCTCTCTCTCACCTGCTCTAAAGCATTGTTCATTGTATCTGGTGGGATTTTGTTTCCAGTGCATAGAAACTTGCCTTGTTTCTAATATGAATATCAGGTGTCAGCTATAGTCCAGTGGTCTTTATTCCAGGTTTGAACTCACATTGACCTCTACCTAATCCCTTACTGTTTAGTTACATGGTTTTGAACATTTTTGTTTCCATAGTTTTAACTTCCTGTGTCATTATTCCTTAGTTCCTATCTCTAAGATCATAGCGATTTTTGAACCACATAGTCGTTAACTTCATATATATTTTTTCTCAATAGTTACGACAAAAACTGAAGTATGAGATGAGAAAACTTCTAGGAAAATGCTTTTATTTTCTGCTTTTAGAAATAAAAAGAATGTCTAATCATTGTATACAAGTTTTAGAATGAGAAAAATTCTGAAATGATCCTCATTGACTTTATTTTTTAAATGTTTATTTCTGAGAGAGAGAGAGAGAGGGAGAGTGAACAGGGGAGGGGCAGAGAGAGGGAGACAGAGGATCCAAAGCAGGCTCTGTCCTGACAGCAGAGAACCCAATGTGGAACTTGAATTCACGAATCATGAGATCATGACCTAAGCTGAAGTCAGATGCTTAACTGACTGAGTCACTCAGGTGCCTCTTCTTTTCTTTTCTTTTCTTTTCTTTTCTTTTCTTTTCTTTTCTTTTCTTTTCTTTTCTTTTCTTTTCTTTCTCTTTTCTTTTCTTTCTTTCTTTCTTTTTTTTTTTTTTTTTTGGTCAATCCTTGTTCACTTTTATTTCAGAAAGTGGTAAAATAGCTGTGGAATACAGACCCTATGAAGAGATCACAGATGGCAGTATCGAAGATAAGCTACAGGATTTAATTCAAGTATGTGGAGATTAAAGCTCAAGGCCTACATAGCCACTGTAGCCATAATGTAAAGCAACCAGCAGAAGCTGAAAGACTTTGGCATTAGCACTATGGTCCTTTGAGAAGTGTGAAACTAGGAAACTGCTTTTGATGGTAGGCAATTTCCGGGGCTTTTCCTGAAGTCCTGGCCTTGTTTGAGATTTAGAGAGTGCTCCCATAGTTGTGGACATAGGAGAGGACAAGCCTTTTCGAGCTCCTCTCAAACAGAATCTCAAGGATTTGGGAACAGAGTAACTATGGCCTTAAATATGATTATACCACAGTGTTTGAAACCATTGTGCCACTCAAATAGGATGTATCACCCAGATGTTGTCATCTCTCATATATCTTGCATGAATATCTTGCTGAAGAACTTTTCTATAAATCACTCACCTGGATGCCCTGAATTAGGGATTAAGTTACCAAAGTAATTTTTAAAAGAAAATACTAATGTACCACATACAGAATGTTTAAAAACAAACAAACAAACAGAAAAGGACCAAAGAATGTGTTGCATGTTGTTGAGAACTTTATTTGGGGCTAGAGTTGTGAAGTTTTGTTTTTGGATTTTTTTTTAATGTTTGTTTATTTTTGCGAGTGAGAGAGACAGAGCGTGAGCAGGGGAGGGGCAGAGAGAGAGAGGGAGACACAGAAGCGGAAGCAGGCTCCAAGCTCAGAGCTGTCAGCAGTGTGCTCAATGCGGGGCTCAACCCCATGAACTGTGAGATCATGACCTAAGCCGAAGTCAGATACTCAGCTGACTGAGCCACCCAGGCACCCCTAGATTTCAGAATATTTAATTTACCTTACAGTTGCAAAGTTTGTTTTGAAGGGAAGAGGGTAGAGAAAGAAAAGATGGTTACTTTCTGGAAAAGCACTGAAAGCTCCCCCCGCCCCCCCCAGCGCGTGCAAAATAGTTACTTTAATTTAATTTAAATCAAACCAGTCAAGGAAACTTCAGACTTATCCAAGTTCAGCTTTAAGAAGTCTAGCTTCCTGTAAGTGTCCATCAACAGATGAATGGATCAAGAAGATGTGGTTTATCTATACCATGGAATACTACATGGCAATGAGAAAGAATGAAATCTGGCCATGTGTAGCAACATGGATGGACCTTGAGGGTGTTATGCTGAGCGAAATAAGTCAGGCAGAGAAGGACACATATCATATGTTTGCACGTATAGGAGGATTAGGAGGAACTTGACGGAGGAACAAGGGGGAGAAGAAGGGCGGAAATGGTGGGGGAAAGGGAGAGACACAAACCATGAGAGACTCTTGAATGCTGACAAAAACTGAGGACTGATGGATGTGGGGGGGAGGGGGGGATGGGCATGGAGGAGGGCACTTTGGGGATGAGCACTGAGTGTTATGTAGAAACTAATTTGACAATAAACTATTTGTAAAAAAAAAAAAAAAAAAAAAAGAGTTCAAAATGAAAAAAAAGAGAGAATCCCAAGTAGGCTCTGCATTTGTCAGCCCCTAGCCTGACATGAGGCCCTACCCACGAGCTGTGAGATTATGACCTGAGCAGAAATTAAGAGCCAGATGTTTAAATGACTGAGCCACTCAGGCGACTTCAGATAATTTTTAAAGTAGCACACTTTTATTTTTCACCACAAAGTAAAAGACAGCTAGAAATGAGGATTGTGTGTGTGTGTGTGTGTTTGTGTAAAACCTTTTGAAAACCTCTTGAAAAAGCTGGGAAATCAATATTCACTATCACCAGAAACATAATCTAATGCTATACAAATCCTTAGGTAAAATACTAATGTGTAATCTTTATTACTATCACTCTAAAAATAAGCATTATACATACTGTGAACAACATACAGATGATTTTTCTTTCACCTTTATACTAGAAAAGTATAATTTTATAGATATTAAATTGAATAGGCCACCTCTTTCTTTTCCCTATGGATTACTGAGTACTTTGGGAAAAAAGGAAATAAAAATTCTTCTTTCATACATTTATGAATAAAATTTAGTGATTGCTTTGGTTCAATAATGAAAATATTTCATTTATTGGTTAATCTGAATACACTTTTTGATATTAGATTCGAGGTTAGACAATAAATATAAATGTAATGCTAAAACAACTCTTCAACACTTGCTATACCAATTAGAATGATATCAGTTGTAAGGTACAGAAATTCCAAACAAATGGCTTAAGTGATAGGATATATTATCTCAAGAAACAAGAAATCCAGATGTCAGGAATATTACATTGGTTAATTTATACTCAGGGTTTCTTTTTGTTTATACAAAAGAGTGTATATACCTGTTTTCCTCATCATCACGATGGATAATGCAATTCTACAGAGAGCCAACAACTTCCAATGAATAAGGAAGGGGTGTTTCTTCTTGACAACTTGTACACCCAGTGGAAACTCTCAACTTTATCAAATTTCAACCATTTTATCATTGTCCAATATTGACCTTATTTCCTTTCTCAAGCTAATAAATGGCAAAAAAATTGAAAAAAAAAAAAAGAAGTCTAGCTTCCTGGAGTGCCTGGGTGGCCCACGGGTCGAGCATCCGACTCTTGATTTGGGCTCAGGTCATGATCCCAGAGTTTGTGGGCTTAGCCCCATGTCAGACTCTGTGCTGAGCCTGGAGCCTGCTTGGGATTCTCTCTGTCTCTCCCTCTGTCCCTCTTCTCCACTCACGCTTCTCTCTCTCTAAAAAAAAATTTTTTAATTAAAAAAACAAGTAGCTTCCTGCGAAATATGAAAGATGAGAGAAAGAGATTCAGCACTGATGCTGAAGATTTCAGAAACCTGATTATAACAACAGATCAATTCCTACATAAGGCCAGTCTTGGAATCAGTTCCATTTAAAAACCATTCTTGTGGGCTAGACCCTGGGATTAAGATAAAAAGTCCCTCTCTCTTGCAGTTTACGTGCTAGAGGTTGTGCCAGACCATAAACAAGGACTAAAAATACATTATAAAAAGGGCTGTGAAGGAAGTAAACTGGGTTGCTAGTTACAGTATTTCAAGAAAATTGTTTAACATGCTGACTTTAACATGCTAAGTGCCTTCTCCATGTGGGCACACAGGGTGGACCTCTGAAAAGGGGCCTTGTTACTCTTTCTAGATCAACAGCTATGTCCAGTCAAGATGAGATGGAGGAAGTTTTCCCACCCAATGTAAATAAAGGGATAGAATTGGTTTCAGGCCCTCTTTCCCAGAATGAATTGCTCAGCAGCCCCTTAGAACCCCTCCTAGAGACATTTTGGAGCCATCACAGATTCAGTGGTAGCCCCCATCTGTCAGAGTGGTGAATTAATAATCAGATGTGGGTATTGAGAATTTAGAGGAAATGGCAACATTTTAGAATATCTAACTGTAACTGCGTTCCCCTCCCCATCGCCCTAACTGGTGCTTATTTTGCAGGTCAGCTACTTTTCTTGGAAGCAGTATGGCCAGGGGGAGGAAGAATGTCTCTCGGATTTAAGCTTTGAAGAACAAGAGTTCAAATTGCCAGAGCTGGACTAGCATTTTTTAATTTCCCAGGATGCCAAGTCCCGTAGCTTCCTTGGGAGCTCAGCTCCACTCCCCCACCCAATCAGCCCGCCAGAGTTGCTGGAGTCCGGGGACACCCAGATCTGAGTCTAAATCCTGCCTTGCTGTGAGCAGCCCCGGGGCGGGGGTGGTGGTGAACTTTACAGGGGGAAGGGAGTCCTGGGCCCTAGTGATTCTGGAAAAAGCGCTCGATCCGGTGGTGCGGAGCCCATCTCCAAGGAGCTAATAAAGGTGGCGTAAATAAAGATGTCATAAATAAAGGGTGGGACGTAGGCGGGGAAGGGGCGCGCAGTTGCTAACAGTGAGCACATCACGGGACTGCCATAATGCTCCGGCTCGCGCTGAGGGCTTGGCGCCAGCGCCCCACTGGCCTGGGCTGCTGTGCCCTAGAGCCTCCGCATGTCATGTCCCCGCTGTGCCTTTGTGGCCCACTGCTTCCCCTTATGTGGCAATCGTTGTGGCTGCTGGTCCTGGCAGCCCAGCCTCCGGAGTGGGCCCTGAACCCTGCCCAGCTGACCTCCGACCCCCTGAAGCTTACCGAGCCCTGGTCTTCGCACTCCTCCGATCTCCCACCCGAATCGCCCCAGGCACTGACACCCCCGGCTGAGCTGGGGGGCTTTATTTACCTGGGGCCCTCTGCTCCAGCCCAGATGTTGGCCCCGCCCATGGAGTTGACTGAAACTTTGATTCCGTTCCTGGACACGGATTCAGTTGGAGAACTGCCCCCAGGGCCAGATCAAGATCTGAATGACCAGCTAACCCAGCATCAAAGGCTCCCAGAGGTGGTTCCTCAGACCACAGCTCCACCTCTTCAACTCAAAAGTAAGAATAAAACTGTCGGTTTAGATCAGACCGAAGATCACCAATCATTTAAAATCCTTGTTCCATCTCTGGATAGTCAGAGTTCAAAGCCAACGAAGTTTATTGTTTCACCCCTAAACCTGAAGAAAGATCTAGCTCAGCATCAAAGACTTGCCAAAGTTGCTGTTGGAACTCCAAACCAATTTGCAAATAAAAAACACCTAGAACAACAGTTGGATGATTATTTAGATTCCAAAATGGATATATATCCTGAGAAGAATCTACCTGTGGGTTTTCCAGGGGGACCAGATCAATCTCCAAACCTCTCTGAGAAGGCTGAAATTTCTCCACCCTTGCAGGAGACCCCAAGTCATCTAGAGTCTCCTGAGGAAGCTGAATCTTTTGTGCCCCAAGTGGAGGCTCAGTCCCAGCATCCAGAGCCCCCTGAAGAGACGGAAACATCACTCCAGCAGGGGTCTCTGTCGCAGCCTCCAGAGTCCCTTAAGGATAGAAATTCAGCAAACCCACAAGAGGCCCCAGTTGAGACTTCAAGTACCCCTGAAGAGGTAGAACCTTCTTCAGTCCAGCAGGAAGCCTCAGCTCTACCAACAGAGACCTCTGAGGAAGTAGAACCTTCTCGCACCCCGCAGGAGGCCCCTGCTCAGCCTCCAGAGCCATCTAAGGAGATCGCTTCTCAACTGGTAGCACATCATGAAGGAAATGTGCCATCTCCAAGTCAGAATGAAATTCAGAAACCAAGCTTTCCCAATGTCACTGTTAAACCTCTCGATCTGACCATAAATCTAACTCATCCTCCAGAGCGCCCTGAGGAGGCAGAACTGACCCTAGCCCCACAG